GAGATTGCTGCTTAGGTGCTTCCAGATGTTCCGTTTCGCGTACAGAGATATCCGAGGCCGCTTTTGAAGACTGCCAAATAGTAAGTAACCTTAAGTGCTTTTTAAAATGGCCATTCCTTCGGCTGTGAACATCTCTCATGCTTTCCTACCGCATCGACGCAGCATCGTTTATGCTACTGCTACTTGCATTGTGTGCATTATCAAGAATTTGCAGAACAGGATCGCGCCGCACACTTGAAACGCCCAAACGTGGAAACTGTTTTACGCGGGAAACGGCATATTTCCGCAAAGTGAGAGAAAAACTGCGGGAAGCAGCCTCGCTAGAGTGTATCCCTTCTGAAAGCGGAAGGTACGCAATGCTATTGAGATATAGTAGCAGCTAAAATATATATGGAAATTTTAACGCAGATTTACTGATTCCGTTTAATATATCGATATTTTTCAATTTAATCAGTGCATTATTAACAATACGATTTACTATTGCTTATTGATATTCAGTTCTGCAATATATTTAAGTTTATTGAAAGAAACTAAAACTATTTTTAGGCATGAAGCTCATCCCACTGCACAAAGCCGTGGACATCCTGCGATGGTAAGTCCATTAATTCGTCCACAAAACTGTATAGGTTAACGTGGCTCTGGTGACGAACAAATCAGGCGTATTGTAGGCAATGAAGTTTGCAGAAATTCGAATAACGTGAAAACGTTTGTTGTAGCAGTATTTTTTCAGAAACCGATAAAGCCGGAGCGATCATCTGAAGGAGCTGTGTGTAAATATGCAGTGCTTGCTTCAAGTCAGATGTTGCAAACATCATATAAGGTTTGCCAGTAATAGCTTATTCTCCTACTCTCTCCCCTGCTCTCTCTTCCTGTCAAACAGCGGCAGAACTTCCCATATTCAGTGCTTCGCCGATGGGCCCCAGTTACGGCAGTATTCACGTAGCATTGGGAAAAGTGATCTGAGCTGGAAAGAAAAATGGAACAGTAGCTCAAAAAGGAGCAGGGTTGATAGACAGCATGAAATACACACTTGAACTGGGAGAGGGGGAGTGCATGATTTCCCAAAAAGATTTTAGGAGGGGACGATAATTTTAGCGTTATTTTGTGTAAAATCCACTGGAATAAAAAAGCTTTTAGACTCTTAAAATTAACAGCAACGAAAATTTGCTGAAATTTGAAAAGCTGTAAATTACAGTGAACAGAAAATGCTGTTAGTTTCCTTAGGAAATATCACGGTCTTAGGCTCCGTAAATGTTATGGTTCCTATCCGCTCTGTATCTGCACTCGTGTTTTCCTGGAGCCTTCTTTTGCATAACTGAAACTGTATTTTGCAGGCTAATCCAACGACACTGTCAGTTAATAAAACGCCGATACGGTTAGTATAAAACATAGTTTCTGAAATCTACATGAATCACATGAAATCTGAAGGTTTCATGCACAAAAAAATTACATTATTAGCAATAAAGTGTGCCTCGTATGGCAAATGACGCTCGAAACTTTTTCAGGATCCCACCGGAGACAGCAGTACCGAGAGTTGCGCTTACTCCAAAAGTTTTTCCCTCACAGGTAACCTATACCATTGTATATTAGAACAAGTTTGCCTGTTCTCGCTTATTTCTGCTCCCACCATTTTTGGTCACGCTGATGCAAAATTACAGCCAAAAGAATACGCGTACTTTCGTCATATCAAACAGACACTGCTCTTTCCTTGAGTCTTCAAATTGGGGTTTTTACTTAATCAAGGGCCTCCTGCGGAAACCTCGTCTCCTTTGCTTTGTTTTAAGAAACAAAAAATCCTCACGCCGCATGTGCAAAGAACAGACAGGGGCAGCCTGTTCGATGAGCACCATTTAACTCATTCTTATTTCCAGTGCTGC